CATATGTGCGTATGCATACATTACATTCAGTACACTTCAATTCACAGTTACATTCACTGCTCACTTTTTGTATGGTATACAAATCTAAATTGTTTTCTGATGAAATAACTCAGCCATTTTCATTTTGTATAATTTGTGATGACAGTGTTAAGCTGGTTTTTTATGTCTGTTTCTCAAGTCTAATTTTACTTGCCAATTTTCCTTTATTTGATGTAATGATTCTATCAAACATTTTATCCCTAATAAATCTCATAAGTGCATGCACAGCCTTATCAAGTCTTTTAACATTTTTTCCGTGTAAATATATGTACTTCAGCGTCCGTTGCATTCTTTCAATGTGCATATTTGTATTTAATCCACAATGAACTCTGTGACAATAAGCCCAAGTAGTTGCATCTTTTAAATAATGTCATAATTGTCAAGAAAAAGCTGGTTGTAGCCCTTCATTTCACAAATTAGTATTTCTACACATTTTTATTTTTGAATTAGAAATTTTAAAAATACCACACCCCCCCCCCCAAAAAACGCTAAATCCGTGCAACCGTCACCAAAGTAGAACCAATTAAACGTTGGGCAATGTTGGATTCTATTCATTCTATATGGTATTTTCCTTCTTTTAGATTTAAATTGTTATACCATAGTAGACGTATTTATTAATTGTCTGCCATATTAAAAAAAATTTCAACAAAAAATTAATCCATTATTTTTAACAATATATATATATTATTTATTTACTTATTTATTATTTTTTTTTTTAAAGTTTCGAATACTTTACTATGGGCAAAATACGTAAAAAAAGCTTTTTTCAAGGTGGCTGACGATTGTTAAACCGCGCCAAAGTAAATCGCCAAAAGTCCGTGCAATCGTCTGCCCAAAGTAGCACCATTTTTACTTTCATATTCTATTTTCTCTCAGGTTGAGCAATTATTTATTATCTTTAATCCTATAATAGATTGTTTAAAACAATAAAAACGGGACAAGTAATTTTATAACATTGATTAAATAAGATTTATATTTTTAACATACTGGAATAAACATTAAACTTATACTTTTGTAGTTATTAATTCAATATTAGATGTAAATTATTTAGGTATACTATGATTGCAGAATAGTAGCACATTCTCCATACATCAGGCTGATTAATTATTTGGTATATACAGCAGTATCCCCAGTAAAGGGCACCCACCAGAAAAGACAGTTTTGTCCCTTCTTCAGAGAGTAAATGCTAAAAATAATGCAATTTAATTAGAAATTCGGGTTGTATTGAACTTTAAATAAATGATATATAAATAAGTAATGTAATCACACTGCCACTGATTTTGAGAAGTTCAAATTCATTTTCTTCAGGAGTATTTTCACTGACGGCACATGAAACTGAAATTTCAAAGCCTGCTTTCTTAAAACAGTGATGCTAAACACAGACGGATTTCAAATTTTGCAAGGCTGATCGCTGTTTCTGCAAGCAGCTTGACAAAGAACATAACGTAAAAATAGTTTTCTCTAATAAACCTTGAAGCTTCACCTCGGTCCAAAAGCTGTAATACCAATGTTGCATTACGAGGGGAAAACACTAATTTCAACAATTTCAATTCTACATTTAATGGACAGATCAAGAAATAGCAAAATCTTCCTATTTTTTACTAGACATTGTTTCCTCAAGAGCAATCAACCCATTCCGATATTATGCTTTACATTAAGACTTTTTATTACGATGCCAATGGACCAGTAAAGCTTTTGGATTGATGTGTTTGAAGCATTTTGATTTTTCGGCTTTTCCAATTAAAAGTGGTTGCTCAAACCCTCCTTTCATGTTACAATAAAGTAGCACAATGAGACACAATATCCTTGGAGCTTTTACCAATAGAGTACTTTTATCCTTTGAAGTACAGTTTCATGAGGCAAAATGCAATAAAATAATTCTGTTTCATCTGCATTCTATGTTTTTAGCCTCATATCCTTCAAAATTTCATTTAGCTTTTTTATCCAGTCTGTTACATGTTACATACCTCCTGATTTTTCATCATCACAAATAGTCTTAAAAATAACATTATGCCTTTGCTTATATTTATCTAACCAACCATTTGATGCTTTGAAGTTCTATAGCACAACTTTTTGAAACTTCGTTTGCATTTTCTTGGAATAATACTCTACTTAAAGGAATATTGTTTCCTCTTACAGAACAAAACAAAGTAAACATTGTCACATTTTCTAAATTTTACAGCATTGGAATATTAATTTGAATTAGTTAATCCACAGTACTATATTTATTTCTTCTCTATCCTATAACATGTGACTTACTTTGTTTTTACTTATTCCAAATTTTTGCCCTAAATACTCGTATATTATTAAACTGAACTTTTCCATTTCTGCTACATAATTAAATGTTTTAATGTTAAATTTCTTCCTCTTTGATGCCATGCTGGATAATGTATGGAAAACTAACACCCAAGTATAAAATTACACTTCTTTCACTCACCAGGCTTAGCAAAAACTAAAACAGAAGTTTACACTCTATCTACATTGTCAGTTTTCAAGAGAGAGTGATTAAACTTTTCCGTTTCGCTGGGGCAAATCACGCCAAGCAGACTTTATTGGCGAAAACATACAGTATACACAGAAAAATTGTTAACAAATGTTAGTTCTACAAATATTTTACTTAGAAGGCATAAACATTCTAATATTGTTAAAAATTTTGTAAAAAGTCATTAATTTAAGAATTTACCATGCTTTCAATGATCTCATTTCATGTAAACTATAATCTATCTCAGTAACTGTATACATTAATTACAAGTTAAATCTTAATTTGGAACACAAGTTTAAATCCAAGAATTATTTCAATTCGTACGAATAGCTTACTCAGAAATTATATAAAACTGCAGTGATTCTAATGAGAATTCATGAATTTTAACCCTTGACTTTGCCTTTTCTATATTTTTGCCTTCGGGTGAGCCATGTGATTGCATCCTAATTGACTTAATTTCCACGAATTGCCTTAGGGCATAAAATTGAACTATCTGGTAAAAATTCTAAGTAGTAGCCTTGTTTAAAGAACAATCATATGATAAGAAATGGCTGTGATTGTTTTGAAAATGAGACTAAAAGTTACCAGCAGGATATTATTCCGCTTGGTTCAGTGTACATTATTCGCGACTTTATCACCTGCGCCGGCAAAAAGGAAAAGTGCCTTTTTCCAATGAATTGTTCTCTTTTCCCATATTGAAAAGCAGTTTTCAAGAGAGAGTGATTAAACCTTTCATATTTTTGTTCTCTAATCACAAAACTTACACTGAGTACAAACTTTCCTTTGAAACCTCAAGATTACTACGAGGGTAAGTTGAAAAATAAGACTGTGGTCAGAGTTGTATATGAAAGTAAAAAATAGAAAGGAGGCATTACAGATATGACATACCTTTATTTTACACTAGGTACAAGTACATGGACATTTGTCTCTCTTGATAAGCTTCAAAAAGCCCTCCAGGAAAAATCAGGGCTTTGACATGGAAGAAAAGCATTGAACGCTTGTGTCACTTCAGTATTGCTTCCAAAGGCTTCCCCGAGATTTTTCTTCAAAGCCGAAACAGATGGAAGTCGCTGTGCGAGAGAAGGACTGTATGGCGGCTGGTGTGGACTCGCCACCAAGAGTTGCAAATGTTTGTGTTGCCGTCGCCGAATGGGTCTGGCAGTAATCAAACAGCAGACGCCAGGCCGCTTTTTCCGAAACGTCTCTTTCTTTTTTCGACAGGGTGCACGTTGCGCGTAGCATTGGTGGTTCCAACCTCCAAAAAGTCCAGCAACAAAACTCCTGGCGTCCCAGAACTGTGAGGAGCACTTACCTGCAGAGGGAGTGTCTTCGTTAAAAACTTATTCGGCAGGTGTGACGGTGTTCCACTCCATAGACTCGGCCTTCATCTGGTTGACAAATTTCCAAACGTTTCATCCCCCGTCACAATCCGAAAAAGAAAGTCATTGCCATGTTCATGGTAACCACGAGATGTTCCAGGCTGACCCCCATGCGTTGTTCTTTGTGTGTCAAGGTCAATTGTCGGGGCACCCATTGTGCTGACACTTTTGTATCGAAAATGTCGTGGTATGATGTTTGAGCTCGCTCATGTGAGATTCCAAGTTCTTCTGCTACTTCATCGTGGTGAACGCCGGTTCACTCTAATATCAGTCATCCACCTCTGACATTTGCATCTGTAGTGGTCTGCGCGTCCGTCCAGCTCTCGGTAGTCCTCCACTTGCTGACTTCCATCACTGAATGTGCGACACCATCTCCGCACCATTGCTTCGACATCACACCTGGCCCATAGACTTCCAGGCGGTTTTTGAATTTCTGTTCCTGATACTCCTTGTGCCCATTCATAGCAGATAACCGCTCCACTTTCTTCTTTTTGACCACGAATTCAAAACGCAACCCTCTACCGGAGCCAAATGAGAGGCTGGTCTCCGCTTTGCGCAGGCACAGAGCGCATCTGCTTGATTTGCAGCGACCTCTACCCAATGGTGTATCGGTGACTTGCGCGTTTTCCTGCTGGTGCCTTTCGCCATAGCCGTTCAATGCTTCTCCATATGCAAAGAGTGAATTTTCTTGGAGGACTTTTGAAGCTTATCAAGCGATATGACAAATGTCTCAACGTACTCGTACGAGAATAATAAAATAAAGGTATGTCATATTTTTAATGTTTCATTCTATTTTTTGACTTTCATACACAACTCTGACAGTCGACAGGAGAAACTTATTTTTCAACTTACCCTCGTAATAAACAATATTTATATTTTTATTTAGTTCTCTACCTCTAACTTATTCTTTAAACTTTTTTCAGTGTCTCTTAATAGGAGGTAAATATATTAAGGTCCTTATTCAAAGGGACTGCGACCAACAAAATTATCCCTTATTAGATATGTCTGTTACATGAGGTACTACTGTAATTAAAAATATTTCGGCAAGCTTATACTGATATTTTACGTATAAATGAACTTGTTTGTAAATTAAACATAAATTTATTTTTTTCTTTTTTAATAAATTCATAATATACAATTTCATGCATTTCTTAATGAATTATGTTACATTATTGAAGAAGGCAGAACACATGGCTGGCTATCTGCCTTAAACAGAAATATGCCTTTGAGGAGGGCTTTGTAATAGAACCTTCACATTACACAGATGGAAAAACCATACAATTCACCCACATAGTCAATTCAATCATCTGTGTTCAAAATACTAGTATTAAGCAGTCTTATTCCCTCACATACTGGAAGAACAGCATTTTTAAATGAAATGCAATAGGGGATTATTTTAATGCAACTGTCTCTCATTTCAAAATAAAATCACATTATGTATATACAAAAGAAAATAAGTCTTTTATTTTCCAACCCAATCATTACAAGAAATTCTTTTAAATGCAAGTGCAAATTATTTTTATTCTATCTACAAATATGATGATTAAAAGTTGCAGTAACTTAATCGTGCAACAGAATGAAAATTCCCTATGAAATAAACAGAAACAGACAATTTTGACTTATCAAACACTCGTAACATAGCATTTTTATATACATCATAAATTCACAATTGAAGGCATATTGCTGGATGAATCAGCAAAGTATGAACAGTAAATTATCTATACAGGACAATTAAATGCATGAAAATAAATGAAAGAAAATTAATATAAATAAATTTTTTACACTTAATTCTTTAGGCACAATATTTCCTCAAATGATAGCATGATAGCCTTTTGAATGCAAAGATAATTTTACATATAAATCTAATGCATTCCAGAGTGAAATATTTTGCATATGATTTGCATGTATTAAAGGTAAAAAGAGAATATGTCTAACACTAAGTTTATCAATTGAAAATTGAACAAAACTATTTTATTTTATACGTGCAATGAAAGATAAATGCACAACACATAAATAAATATACATGAAAAAATAAATCAACTTGTTCATTTTTTCATGCTATAAAACAGCAATGAACTAAGGATGCTTATCATGTGTGAAAAACTGAAACCCACAAATTAAATTCTCTCCAACATTCAAGAAAAATCCAACATGCTTTACAGTTTTCTTATTTTGTATTGTTGTTTGGGGCTTATAGAAAGGGCTAAACTCATAAAAACTACTCCAGATTTAAAATTTCAAAACTTATGGCACACACAAAAGCAATGCAAATGTTTGCAAAGCTATGACTAACATATACAAAAAAAATGTTTACATTACAAAAAATGCAGTCAGTTTTCCAAAACTAACACTTTCAGCTTCCCTTTTTATACCTTATAAATATTTACATGGAAGGAAAAACACATACTTATAGCAAGGAAATATTTTCCAACTAAATTATATTCTGCACAAATCACATAAATTTTTCAACATATATATTTAATATTGTTACAATTCATAAAGCTTGTTTTAATGGTTAGGATATTATAAATAGGTTAATGTCATTTAGAGTGAACTTTTTAGGTAATTTGTTATTCAAAATAATTAAAATTCTTATTTCCATGTAATATACTAGAAAAAAATGCAGTGCAAATTGACCTTACTTAGGATTTTCTTTTAAATATTATTTCCAATGCATCAAAAATCTATTTTACAAAGAATTATTTATACAGATAAATTTTATATGCCCATAGTCAACTTAAGTGGTTTTATAACACAATTATATCGTAACAAAAATCGCAAAGAATGTAGCACATTCAGTAAAAATAAGACATCATAATACTAAAACATTAAAACTGTCACAATGAATTATTAATATCCAAGCATATATCTGGATTGAACTAAAACTATAACCCATGATTTGAAACTTAAAATGAATTAGTAATTACTGTGATAGAAAAAGGTTGTCATTAAAACATTGGAATGAAAAACCTAGGTTAATTAAAATAACTTTTTAGAAAAAAAATGGTCTTTATTTTAAAATTTACTTAATTATAAAACTTATTACAAAATCATTTAAATACTCAATCCAAGCTTATGCCACATTTCTACAAACAGCAAAATTACACAGTTTTCTAATAATTATTATCCATATATGACACCAAAAACAGTCTAACAGAAAAGAAGGGGGGGAAAAAAAAATTTTGCTGAAACAATATATTTTACAATTTTCCTCATTTATTCATTTTTTAAAATATAATCAGTACTATTTTTTCCCATCATACCACAAACAGAAAGCATGCTTTGCTTGGTTTTCAATGAAGTCATGCTTTGTAATAAAAATTTAATAAATATATTTCTTTGATTCAAGCTGGTCAAATACAACCACAATACCGAACAAATGGTAAAATGCTGGAGATGAGGCCTACCATCACTTCCAATTGTTGTATTTTCAAATTAGCCTATATGATTTTGAACTATTTATATCTATAAAACATTACATGGGTAAATGCTTCATACTCTTTAATATATTATTTCTAGGAAAGATTTAAGCTCCAGTGATATATTTTTCCATTTACTCAAATGGAATATCCAACTTTTGTACAACATATGCACCAAATATTGGTGAATTATCAATCTCCAATAAAAATTACATAACAAATGAGCTCCGAGGAATTCACATTAGGAATGAATGAATGAATGAATGAATGAATGAATGAAATTATTTCATCGATGACAGCTGTACGTCTAAGAGGCGCATTTTCTTCTCATATTCTTGTTGGGCAAACATCACTTCTTGTTCGATCGCCCTCAGCTTTGCACTGTGCTCCTCTTCTATCGCTTTCAGTCTTGCAGTGTGTTCTTCCTGCATGAATCTCAGCCTAGCTTCGTGTTCTACACGCTCAAACTGTGCTTTTTCTGAATCAGCATCAACTTTAGACTGAGTCTCTCTCTGGGACAAAAGTAACTGATCTTTGTACAGCTGCAAAATTGCTTCATGTTCTATTTTTAAATTGTCTAATCGCCTCTGATGATATTTTTCTACCAGTTTGTCAATAACACTGTTTGCGGCTTGATGAGCAGAATCAACTGCTGATTCTGTAAAATATATTATTTCTTGTTGGCCATCAGCAACCTAGAAGAGAAAAAACACACTATTAATTTTATACAACAATGTAGCATTATTTATCTATTTTCTACAGACCAAGAAATGCAGTAAAATCTTAGCACAGTATTACTGTGACATATAAAATGTCTAAGATTTTATCTAAAAAGAACACATTTATTTTATTTAAAAATAAAACATTATAATTTCTTTCCTGCACGCCAAGAAATTTCATAAAATCTTAGTAATATTAAATTTCTTAAAAAATATTGTGAACACTTAAAATCAATTTAGAAACTAAGATACATAAAAGATCCAATTCATTTTATACGAAAATGTAGTATGATCATTTCTATTCTACCGACCAAAAAATTAATAAAATCTTGTTATGGTATTAAATACTCCAAAACATTTGAATGCTGAAATTAATATACACAGAAAGATGGTACAGTAAAAGTCCAGAAATCTGCAAAACTTGGAACCAAAGGTTGTGCGGATTTCAGGACAGAAAAGATAACTCATAATATTCAGACTAAAAGTGCCAAATAAATAAATGCATTCCAGTGTTAGAATCACTGTTGCTGTAAAATTGCAACAGCCTTTCTTTATTTTTCCGTTTATCATACACAATCGTGTCGCAATGCCATACCATTCTGCTATAAATCGAGAAGTAGCACCTGCCTCCATCTTTTGCAGAATTTGCACTTTTTTCGTTACCGTCAATGCAACGTGTTTATGTTTTTCAACGTTGCAAGCAGTAAAACCATGAGTCCGTTTCTTATCTGTCGTTGTATTAAAAAGGGCTGAAATTCAAAAATATTCTTAATTTATCCACAAAATATCAGGATAAAAAAAAAGGCAGAAGTAAACAATCTCGTGAAATAACAAAGCTCAGGAAATACAACAACGTGAATCGTGAACTTCAATGAAGAGTTGAGGTGAATCATCTGCTTTTTTTATCTTGATGCAGAGATTAGAGGGGTAAGTATTTTTTCTTCGATATTTCGTACTCAATGTTGCAGTTTCTGGAACCTATAAACTGAATATTTATATTTTGAGAGGCAACGCAGATTTCAGGAGTTGGCGGACTTTTGGTATTTGACTGTATCAATTGAATTCAGTATCTTAATGTGCCATACTTATAGCAGAAGACTGATAAGGATATGATACATAGTGTGATTATTTATCATAATATTAATTTAATGAACATTTTCTATTCGTAAAATTTAAATTATGAAATTTTAATTGCAAACAAATAAATGATTAAATATTGCTGCGAACTAATCTGCAACATCATTTAAATTCTGAGAGCATATGTAAATTAAATGTATAGTATCAAAATCCATGAATAAATATATAATATTCCAAAAAAATTTTTAATCCTAAAAAATTTCTAAGACAATTAATTTGCATAGTGAATAATTGCTGAGCAGGCAGGAGACAGATCTTATCAAGAAGAAGTTGCCTCCAAACCTAACTCTTCAATTACTCAATTCGTGTTTCATCATCCACATAGGCTTGAGTACTAAAAAAATTTTTAACAAAAGGAATCTTGAGAAATTTAGAAAACAAACTTTGCCAATGTAAAAAGTGTAGAAAATCAAAGTTTTCTTGAAAACCAAAGTAATTTAGAAACCTTTGCCTATTTGGAAACTTCCCCAACACGGATTATGCATGTAAATCAAAAATAAACTATATACAATCTATAAAAAAATACATAAATTCCAAAAAAATACTAAAAAGGCAAGTAAATAGTATGTTTTAATTTAACTTACCAAACTATATTTGTATTTGGAAAGTGGAGCAGCATTTGCCAAACTATATTTGTATTTGGAGAGTGGAGCAGCATTTGCCAAACTATATTTGTATTTGGAGAGTGGAGCAGCATTTGCCAAACTATATTTGTATTTGGAGAGTGGAGCAGCATTTGCTGGGAATGTTGAGTAGTGTGTTTCTGCTAACTTTATAATACAGGGTGCTAATATAAGGTAAAGTTGAGTGTTAAGCTGCTACCTGTTAAGATATATTGTAAAAGCCTATTCTGTAAATTCTAACTAAAGTAAAATGTAAATGTTCTGTGAGCAAAAATTTGCTAACTGTGAAGTAATCGTAAAAATGTGTAAAAAATTGCTAACTGTTACGGTTATGTGAAAATAGAGTTGCAAACTATTAAGGATTTTTTAAAAAATCGAAAATGTTTTTGAAACAAAGTACGAAAAAGCTTTTTTTATGTAAAAATAATTAAATTTAATTTAAGTCTGAAATTTTTTTAATGTTTTTAATTAAAGTAATAAATTTTAATAATAGTCTTAATTAATTAAAACTGAATTTCAACAAGTTTAATCAAAACTTTACTAAATACTGGCCAAAAGTAAGGAAATTGCTGGCTGAAATACTGTATCAGTCAGGGCTGGAGAGATACTGATTATTCAAATACAGTCAAAAGTCGTTAATCCGGACTCCTCGGGACTTCGGCAATTCTGGATTATCGATTTTTCCGGATTATATATCATCAGTTTAAATCTGGTCACATGGCATGCAGAAATTATAAAATTAAAAATATGAAACCGTAAGTTATGAAATAAAGAGCAATTATGATCTAAAGGATATCAAAATTTACAAAAAGAAAAAGCTAAATATTTATTTGTTTACTTTATTAAACATTTCTTTCAATGTAAATTGTTTAAGTTGCTTCGTTTCATGTGATACCTTCTCTTTAATTCTATTAAACAGACATAATTTCTTGTTTAGTTACAAAGTTCCGCTGCTCAAGTCCTATAATTGCTGTGTCGAGAATACCGACTAATTTGTCAATTGAAATTTTTTCGTTTTCAATAACTCTGTCACTTTTACTATCGTAAGCGAATTATAATGACAATGAACTTGATTTAAATCATATCAAAGACCGAATACATCGAGATGAAATACTACATATAGTAAAGAATTATAAGCCAAATAAAATAAAAACATCTGCCCTGAAGATAAGGATAGTGCTGACAGATCAACTTCCAATTAATTGCGCAACGGACGCGTCGTTTCCCTCTCCTGCAGAGCAGTGTGAAATTGATAAACACATTTCGGAATAATTAGATAATCAAAGGATATGCCTTTATCAATTTTTTGCAGCAATTCCACTTTCTGTTTAATGGACTTCAAAACATACTTTCGCCTTACATATTAGTAATTACATAGATCCTTTACATATTAGTAAATATATATCGGAAATTTTATTTGACATAATCGAAAGTTCAAGCTTACTTTTATAAAATTGCTCTAACAGTCTGCAAAAAATAATAAGCCGGATCCAATTCGAAGATTAAGGAACAACGCAATCTGCAACATTAACTGAATTAGATAATTTTAGCTTAGCTTATACCGTCCATTATACATTAAACAAGCATGCGTAAATGTATTATGCACATGCGCATACGTATATTTGCAGCCGTAAAGGTTGTTGGAAAATATGACCTATTGTAACCCTTTTTCTGCATCATCTCTCCTCCTTGAAATATTTATTAGCCTTGGTTCTTATTTTATTGTCTTTGTATTGTTTTGTAACATGTTGGACTTTCTTGTTATGGTAAAATTTTGAAAAATGGAATTCCCAAAGGAATTTTTTTTTTTTTTTAATTTCTGAAATGAATGGAGTTGTGATATTTATTTATTTTTGTTCTGAATTTTGTAAAGATACTGGCATTCAGTTTTATTTCAGGTCAGAGATGATGATATGGGGGGGCATTTGTTGGAAAATATGACCTATTGTAACCCTTTTTCTGCATCATCTCTCCTCCTTGAAATATTTATTAGGCTTAGTTCTTATTTTAAAGGGATATAGTAGTTACTTCTCCTTCGATTTTCACTGCTACTGTTTGTATTAAGAATGGACTGTTTCAGTCTAATTAAGATGCAAAAACGAAACTTGAAGTTACGTCACCTGGAAAGCCGAGTCGTGCCAATAGCTGATTGGTTGCCGCGAGATGACGTCATGTCTACTTCAGGTATAAGTATCTTGCATCGTTCTGGCTCATCATTTCTAGTTCCTGTTTCTTTGCTCCTTGGTGTGCACAGTTTCCAGCCAGAATTGGAAGACGATATTGCGATGCGTGCAGTCCGGTGATAAGTGCCGTGGTTCCAGTCTACAAGACGATTTTTCCTGAATAAGTTCCGTGGTTCCAGTCTACAAGATGACTTTTCTTGGATTCTCAAAAGAAGCTATGATGTGAGTGACTGCCGTGGGCGGCATCCATGTTCTTCATGAAGGCAGCATTTAACACAAGTTAGCGGCGATGTTTTTCTAAGCTGTGATTCCCTCGTGTTAACTACAGGAGCGGCGTTTTAAGGTTTTCATGTGCTCTCAAGGATTTAATTTAATTTTCAGCTGCCTTCTTGACCATTAAGCATGGACTTATTGTGTAGCGAATTTCATTATAACCACATAATCTCTGCTTAGTGATATGTTTTTCGCGTATCGAATGCCAGTATTTGGATCAGGTAAAATATTATTTAATAGTGTAACCTACTTTAAAGGGAAAACCCTTGGGGTTAATATAACCGCATAATCTCTGTTTAGTGATATGTTTTTCGCGTATTGAATGCCAGTATTTGGATCAGGTAAAATATTATTTAATAGTGTAACATTCTTTAAAAGGAAAACCCTTGGGGTTAATGGACTATCAACTAAATTAAATTTTAGATAATGATTGTTTTATTTTTTTTAAAGTTTCTGATATTGCTTAAATTTATTCATTATGTTTTTATTTATATATATTGTTAATAAATTGGTTAAGTTTAAAACCTTTTTTTGTCTTCAATGTCTGCACAGCACATAACCTTAGGGAGCTTCTATTGCTACTGGTGCTAAATGTTTAATTTTACAACTTTAAACTTTGCTTTTGCATCATTTTGGTTATGGGCCCAGCCCCTGAGTTATCTTTAGTGCACACTTTTGAAGTTTAAAATTAATTTAGGACTTAAGAGACTGGGGGGTTGGTTTTTGTTGAAATTCAAAAGGTCTATGTAAATGTTATTGC